TTGAGCATTTTTTCATGTGTCTGTTAGCCATATGTAGGTTTTTTTTGGAGAGGTGTGTGTCTATACCTTCTGCCCATTTTTGACGGGGTTATTAGTAATTTTTTGAGTGTTGAATTTGAGAAGCTCTTTGTGTATCTTGGATATCAGCCCTTTATCTGTATTGTCATTTGCAAAAAATCTTCTCCCATTCCATGGGCTATCTCCTAGTTTTTCTCTATTGAGTTCTTCAGTGTTTGTATTCTTCAGCTCCAAAATTTATTTGGTTATTTTTTATGTTTTCTATTTTTTTTGTTGTACTTTTCATTTTTTTGTATTATTTACCTGACTTTGTTGAACTGTTTTTCTGTGAGAGCTATAAGCTCTCTAAGCATCTTTAGAACAATTACTTTGAATTATTTATCAGACAATTTGTGTATTTCCATTTCTTTAGGGTCACTGAAAGTTTATTGGGTTCCTTGGTAGTATCATGTTTCCTTGATTTTCACAATTCCTGTACTCTTGAATAGTTGTATGTGCCCTGTGAAGAGCAGTCACTTCTTCCAGACTGTATTAACTGAGTTAGATAGAGGGAAGACCTTCACCAGTGGATGGAAGCATGCCAGAGAATGCTGTGACTCTGGGTCTAGTGGTGCAGGTTGCTAAGTGCATGTGGCAGCTCTGGGGCCAGGAATGTATACCTCATTGGTTTAGGCCACATGGGTCCACAACATCAACAACCATGTGATCCTTGTGGAGACCTGCAAAGGGTCGACGGTGTCTACAATGGTTGTTGGGGACCTCAGTGGCTCTTCCAAGTCCAGCAGCTAGGAATGTGGGCAGATAGCAGTGGTGGCCAGAGCTGGTGGTGTGTGTACCCCCAGCTGCAGATACCTGCAAAATGTCAGGGTAAAGCTGCAGACACAGAGGTAATGGTCAGGGCTGGAATCAGCAGAAGAGGCTGATGCCAGTTGCACATACACTAGCAACTGCAGAGGCCCTGGTTATTGGCATGAATTTGTATAGCTGTAGAGGCATTGGAGACTGGGACAGGAGTTGGGTTGGCAATATGCAGGTGCATAGCTTCAGGGGCTTTAGATGAGCCCAGGAATACAGGCCACTGACAAGTGTCAAGGGCAAATATGGACCCATAAGCTGTCAGGGCCTTGGTTGCTAGCATATACTCCTGAGTCTATAGGAGTTCAGCATGGCAGCACGCTCGGCAGTGGAGGCCAGTGGCAGAAGTCAGGCCAGCATTGTGCAGGTACACAGCTGCAGGGGCTAGGCATGAACACATGCACAACCATGGAGGTCAGCCATGGGAGTCTAGGCTGGCATGTTACATGTGCCTAGCTACAGAGACAGGGGCTGGCTGCTGCACATTTCATGTCCCAGCAAGGGGTGGGGAGAAAGCAAGAGGTGCTCAAGGGGCTGGCATCTGTGAATGCAAATACCCGTGGGTGAAAAAAATCTGCAGGCATTCTGTGTCAGCTTCTAATTCTACTCGTTTCTTCAAAGGTAGAAGATGCTGAGGTCCTCTGTGAACAGTCTGCTGGGGTCTATGACAAAAGGTCCTCTGTGACGAAAGCTGAGGGGGTTTGCGACATCTGTAAGGGTAGTTGAAGTCCTCAGCAGTGAAGGCTGCCGGGATCCTATGCAGAGCAGGCCAGTGGGAACCATGGTCACTCTTACGGCATGGCTGACATGGGTAGTCCCTGCCCTTTTCCTTGTTCCTAACTATTTCTAGATGTCTCAGCCTTGCCAGTCTCTGGGTGTGGTAAAACTAAAGTGGGTCCTTTGTATAGTGGCCTGAAGGGCTGGGTAAGCTGGTTACTCATTCCCCTCTCCTCTTTTTGGAGAGGGGAATGCTTTTTAGGCCAGGGAGTTCTTTCTTGGTGCTGAGCAGTGTCAGCCTGGGGTATGGAATGATGCAGCAAAATGAAACTGTTTTTCCTACCCTTTACGTATGGTTATTCTGAGGTTTTGCTCTACTGTGTTACTGAAGCTTCTTAAGTGATAGTTTCTTCTGAGCTCTCCCAGAGCTATTTTTCATTCATGCCTATCTAATTGTTGATCTTCATGGGGGACAGAGGATTGAAAACTCTGATTACATCATCTTGGTGATAACATCAACCTGGAAAAGTTTTTAATACGATATCTTCAGTAATTTTCTTTCTTATTTTCTGTTCTCTCTTCTGAAACTCCATTATTTGGATATTGGACTTCTTGGGTCAAACTTCTAACATTTCTCTCCTGTTGATAACTTTTTGTTGCTGTTGTCCTATTTTCTAATCTTTATGTCAAGTTTATCCCTGTTATCTTGTTTGTAATTTTCTAGAGCTCCTTTGATTGCTTCTTAGATTGCTCTACTCTGTCTCCCTGTTGTTTCCTCATTTCTCTTTGCAGGCAGCAACCACCATTTTCTTCTACTGATTTGTCTGTTTCTTCCAAGTTCTTTCACATGTATTTGTTCTGGTCTCTAACTTTCATGGGAGATTTCCTCCATACTGATGTTTGGCTGTCTGGAAGTTCTGGGTAGAATCTGCTGAACACTGAGTTTCACTGTATGGAGGTCTGGGGAAAGGAGTGGTCATCTCATCCAATAGCTTTAAACACAACATATACTTTGATAACTCTAAAGTTGTTATATCTGAACTTCACTTCTGAGGTCCAGACTTTCAACATCTCAGTTTGGCATTTTAAAAGGCATCTCAAACTTGAAAGGAAAAACCAGACCAATATATTGATCCCCACTGCTGTACTCCCAAACCTGCTTCTCCCACAGTGTTTCCTATTCTACTTTTATAAGGTTAAAGTTGGGAAGATCAAAACATAGAGTCATTCTTCTCTGGTCTTTCCCTTTTTTGTACACACATACCAAATCAATCTATCAAAACTCCAAGTGAATTTATCTCCAAACACACATTCATAATCCAACAATTTCTTACTACTTTCTTTACTCCAACTCTAGCCCAAATACTGAAATTAACATCATTTTGCTTGAATGACTGCTCCCTGATTCCATTATTGCCCCGCTCCAGTCCTTCTGCAACTGGAGGAATCCTTTTAAAATGTAAGACAGATAATGTGATTCCCCTGCTTAAATACCTTCACAGGCTTTAGAATAAAATGCAAAATCCTCACCAAAAATAGCATCCTCTAAGCCACCATTGTGAGGAAAGTTCTTAGCCTCAATCTCTCAATCACCCTTCACTTTCCACATCTAATTGATCATCAAATTGATTTTTATTCACTAACATCTATATACTCCACTGCATTTCTTCATCATTCCTATTGTTGTCTAGTCACTATTTATTATCCAAATCACTTCTGTCATCCCCTTCCTCCCTGATTCTGGTCTTCTGTATTTTACATTTCCTATAGACAGAGACAGCATTTAAAACCCATATCTAGAGGTGCCTGGGTGGCTCTCTCAGTTATGTGTCTGACTCTGATTTCAGCTCAGGTCATGATCTCAGGATTGTGAGACTGAGCCCTGTATTGGGCTTCGTGTTGGACAGGGAGCCTGCTTGAGATTCTCTCTCTTAGAAAAAACCAACCAAACAAAACACCCATATCCTTATCCAATCATGTTACTCCTATACTTACGTCAGACTGCTGGAGGGGCATTTTGGGCCTTACAAAACTCTTCATGATCTGACACTTGCCTCCTTCTGCACCTTACTATCCCAAACATTAACACATACTTACATGCCAAAGTTACCAAATACCTTATAGTTTCCTGGAACTACCACTTCCCTATGCAATTGTGTCATTTTGGAACATCTCTCCTTCTTGCTTGTCCTCTGGGTGAACCCCTGTCCACTCCTCAAGGCTCACCTTGAGTATTACTGCCACTGGAAGCTTTCACTGATATTTTCCAGCCCCAAGTAATCCATCACTCTCTCTAACATCAGTGAATATGCAGCACATATATGGCAATGGTTTGCTTGTGGTATATTTGATCCCACTAGAATAGTTTCTAAACATGAGGGCCATGTATAGACTCCATGGGCAATTACCAGAAGGAACTGTCAATTCCCTAAAATTCAGTGTAAAACTTTGTATGCAAAACCACACTTGCACTGTCCTGGCAAGAAATTCTATCTGATCTTCATGACCCAGAAAGGGTTAAGAACCAACACCCCAGATGGTGATATTCTTGAGGATAGGGATAAGTCTTGCTCATCTTTAATCTCTATATCCCATGCTTATCACAGAGTTAGGGTAAATATACACGAATGTTTTTATACACTAGCAAATACACATAAGCAATTGATATGTTACTAGTATATTATTTAGGCAAATTTCAAAGATCCTCAACCAGGCAACATCCTATCTTTGAACTTCCCTATAAAAATTACATTTTTCTTAAAGAGAAACTTGTATTTCTTTCTAAAACCTGTAATTATCACCAATAAATATTTCTCAAATATATAACTCCTCAAAGTGAGGTTTTACCCAGTCCTTTAGTCTAAGCTTAATAGTCACCTGAGGTTTCTGATGTTTGTTTTACCTCAAAAATTTTTTTACCTTTCTTTTAGTTACTTCTCATTCAGCCTGTAAAATGTAATCTTGGTCATCAATTAATTCAGTACATTTTAATAACAGCCAATAGACAACTAAGGATATATCAGGTCTCTCTTAGAAATACTGGCACATTATTTCCAGGTTTAATCATTACATTAACCAATAAATTGGCTCTTTACAGATTCAACTAGCTTCTTTTTTTAAGAGGCGGGAGAGACAGAATTTTGGTAACTGCTGCAGGCTGAAGGAGCTTCATTCACCAGTAAAACCAACAGATAAATGATCCCTGGATATTATGGCACAGCCTTACACAGTAGTTCCATTTAGAAAGCAAAGGTGATATGTAGTGTCAGAATAAGGAGTACCCCTTACACACATTGGGGCAAAGACAAAGGAACAACTTCAGCAATATTGTTTCATAATGTTACTAGGGATAATAAAGGAGAAAAAATGAGGCGTGCAGGAGCAAGCTTACCCTGTGTTAGATTTCTTACCATTTTATAGAGATCTGAGACACTAATCTGGTCTGAATCCACTACTTCAAAGTCCTTTCGAGGCACCAAGTCCAGGCCCAAATGTCTAGTAAAGAGAAAGAACACACTCAGCATGCCACGTCCTCAGATTACTCATCTCTCCTTATGTGCCTAGAAGCTTGTCATGGCCATGACTTTGTGGCCAGAGACTGAGACATTACCCTGGCAGGGACAGGCTTTTGTCCAGTAACACCTAATTGTTCTCACCTTAAGGTAAATAAATGAGGCTGGGAATTTTAAAACTGACAATTTTAATCACCAAGCAGTTCTCCCTTGTGATGGTAAAAAGAATTCATTCAGCATCATGTCTTCAAGAAAAATATAAATCATAACAAAAGAAGTACTCAATTCTACTGTCCTTGGGTAACTCCACTCTTCACATTTGGGCAAACTTATTTCCACCTTTTGTTCCATGCACTACTCTACTAAAAGTATTAGGATCCCATCTTGACCCTGTAGTTTTCAATGAACATTGATATAATATGCCTTTTCTCACTTGATTATCAGCATCTCATTGTTAAGATAATGATTTTTTTTCTAGTTGCAAGAGAAACCGTTGTGTGAACACAACTGTGTATTAATAAGTCAGTTAACAGTGCTAATGTTAGTACTGAACACTACATCTGAAACTAATGATGTATACTATGTTGGCTAATTGATTTAAATTAAAAAAATAATGCTAATATTAAAGGATGGGGAGGTGGCCCAAGGGATTTGATTCTAAAAAAAAAAAAAAAGAGTCTACTTGAGTTCCTTAAGGATGCATTTTCTATAGATTATTAATAAGGCATGTTTTATTGTTCTCTTCCTCCCAATCCTACAAGTGTGTTCAAGGCTCAGTCATGCATTACTTTCATGTAATGTGTTTTTTTAATTCAATATATATATATTCAATTCAATTTTTAAAATTCAATATATATATATATATATTCAATTCAATTTTTTTAATGTGTTTGAATTACAAATGTACTTGGACCAAGTAGATTTGTAATTCAAACACATTAAAAAAATCACCCTCCAAAATATATTGAACTCAAAGAAATGTATGTTTTAAAGATTTTATTTATTTATTTGAAAGATAGAGATCACAAGTAGGCAGAGAGGCAGGCAGAGAGAGAGGAGGAACCAGGCTCCCTGCTGAGCAGAGAGCCTGATGTGGGGCTCGATCCCAGGACCCTGGGATCATGACTGGAGCCGAAGGCAGAGGCTTTAACCCACTGAGCCACCCAGGCGCCCTAAGAAATGTATGTTTTAATCTCATTTTAAATTTAATTAATACTGACACTGGTTATAGTGAAGACCTTACCATACATGAGCCATGTCTTTTTTTTTTTTTTCAGCTTACCAATGTGTGTTTCTTTGTATAGCCAGCATATTCGTGGAACTGGTTATTATTCCTGATACATTTTAAGTTCCTTGTTTTCTTCTCTCATAGGTGATGATGGAGGGTTTTACTTCTAAGAAGAAATCTTAGATGCTCTGTCCCTCCTTAAGTTCACAGACAAAAGGAAGCTAATAACATTATTTTCTAACTGGAAACATCATTTGTGTAAAACACCAAAAGATCTACAACTGTCAATTTTTGAATCTCTGAAGATTAACCACTATTTTAAGAAACTTCATATGAAAATTTAATCAAGGAGTATTACTCCTAAAAAATACTCCAGTATCTGGAAGATCTGGTATAACTTGCAGAGGGAAGAATAAGAGATGGTGGTTAATGATTGATTAACTATGGCAGGCAGTATGAAGCAGTGTAAATAACTCCAGACAGCCAGAACTCTTGCATTCAAATATGGCACATAATTTATGTTCAGCAAATGTTAGCTCTTTTCTCACTCTCTAAACCTGGAGTCAAATGGAGTGAGGGGGTTGTGGACCTTGAAATTGCTTGCAACAGTATGTGTGTGTGTGTTCACATATGATTTTTTTCTGAAGAGAGGGTCTATAACTCCCATCAGGTTTTCAGAGCTGTTCTGTGACCACCCTATACTCCAACACAAGGGTTATAAATTATTGTATCTGGGAAAAGTATTTCATAGGCAATGAAAGGAGAAGTATGTGTTTTTTCCTCCTCAACTAGGCTATGAATCACTATTAACAAAACTAATTCTGCAGGCTCTTTCTGTGCATAAAACTACACTCATTTAAAATAAAACCATGTGGGGGCGCCTGGGTGGCTCAGTGGGTTAAAGCCTCTGCCTTCAGCTCAGGTCATGATCCCGGGGTCCTGGGATCGAGCCCCACATCTGGCTCTCTGCTCTCACGGGGAGCCTGCTTCCTCCACTCTCTCTGCCTGCCTCTCTGCTTACTTGTGATCTCTGTCTGTCCAATAAATAAATAAAATCTTTAAAAAAAAATAAAAATAAAATAAAACCATGTGAAAAAATAAATTTAAAAACCATGTGTATATCCAAAATGCATTTATTTATAATTTATAACCTACTTATAGGAAGAGATATAAAGAGGTCAAAGAAGTTGCAAAAAGATTGCTAAAATAAAAATGGAAAATCAAACCTATTTGAAAATGGTAGAAGCAAATGTGCTAATCTCATAGGCTACTATGATAACCACGATTCAGAATCAAAATTCAGATTGGTACTTTTTAGCAGGCAAGAAGAAAGGAAAAACCTGTTTTTATACTAAAAGATAAAAACTCAAGTTTTTCTATTATATAACTTACATCATCCATTAATACATAGCATGGAGGACATTAGGAGAAGGTAAAATGAAGGGAGAAAAATCCTTGTGGGAGACAAACCATGAGAGGCTATAGACTCCAGAAATGAACAGAGGGTTTTAGAAGGGAGGGGTGGGGGATGGGTGATCCTGGTAACTGGTATTAAGGAGGGCACAAATTGCATGAAGCAATGCATGTTACATGCAAACAATGAAGCATGGAACACTATATAAAAAACTAATGATGTACTGTATGGTGACTAACATAACACAATAAACAAACAAACAAACAAACAAACAAAAAACCCATGTATTTCTATAGGGTTCCTGGGTGGCTCATTGGTTAAGCATCCAACTCTTGATTTTGGCTCAGGTCATGATCTCAGGGTTTTGAGATCTAGGTCCATGTTGGGCTCTGTGTTGGATATCAATGAGCTTGCTTAGGATTCTCTCTCCCTCTTCCTCTGCTCCTCCCCCCCACCCAGCTTATGTGCTCGCTCGCTCTCTCTCTCTCTCTCTCTCTCTCAAAAAAGGACTAGAGAGAGAGAAATATGAATTTTTAAAGAAGAAATAACTTTTGGAATTAGGTGCAAAAAAAAGTACACTGTTGGCCTTAACTTTGATAGTTTACAGTTTAATGGCAAAACCATGCCATTGAATCTCATTATTGAAGTTAATGTACTTAAATTGATAAGAAATATAATTTTTCTATCACTGGGATCCTGTCTTCTTATATAAAAACATACTGCATTTAGTCACTTCATATTAGCTATTATTAATTTCTCTGATATAATTTCAGGTCTCTGGCTTCCAACACTGGCTGCAGGTAAAGGCAACGATGTCATGGAAAGCAAGAGAAAGATGAAGCACATCCTTTCTACCTCTCTTGTCATAAAAATCAATTTACATCATAAAGATAATTTTTCAGATATGACTTCAAAGTACTTAAGATACTTTTATATGCATGTAAAAAACAGTGGAAAGATAAAAAATGACATTAGTATTTATATTAGGGAAATGGAATCATACATTTGATCACTAAAAAATATTTTCCAATTTTCTATAGGCAGCTATTGAAACTTTCTAAAATACAACAATGAAGAACCAAAATTCTATACATATTCTTTAACCATTAGTGCTCTTAAAATATACAATAGTTTAAATATTACAATTAAGTAACAAAAAGGACTGAGTGAATATTCCAATCAAAACAGATATATTTTTTTTTAAATTTAAACTTCGTTTTTTTCAGTGTTCCAAGATTCATTATTTATGCATCCCACCCAGTGCTCCATGCAATATGTGCTCTCCTTAATACCCACCACCAGGCTCACATAACCCCCCAACCCCCTCCCCTCCAAAACCCTCAGTTTGTTTCTCAGAGTCCACAGTCTCTCATGCTTCGTCTCCCCCTCCGATTTCTCCCAACTCCCTTCTCCTCTCCATCACCCAATGTCCTCTGTGTTATTCCTTAATGCTCCACAAGTAAGTGAGACCATATGATAATTGACTCTCTCTGCTTGACTTCTTTCACTCAGCATAATCTCCTCCAGTGCCCTCCATGTTTTTGTTTTTTTTTTAAGATTTTTATTTATTTATTTAACAGAGATCACAAGTAGAGAGGCAGGCAGAGAGAGAGGGAAGCAGGCTCCCTGCTGAGCAGAGAGCCCGATGCGGGACTCGATCCCAGGACCCTGAGATCATGACCTGAGCCGAAGGCAGCGGCTTAACCCACTGAGCCACCCAGGCGCCCCAAGTGCCCTCCATGTTGATACAAATGTTGGGTATTCATCCTTTCTGATGGAGGCATATATACAGAACACATATTTTCAAGACAACAGTATTAGAAAAAAATCCCAGTAGACCTAAGTCAATAGGGCTGGGATTGAGTGTACATGCTTTGTGGTTGTGTGCCACACAGAGCTATGAGCTGTCTAGCCTGGCACTTTTGCAAACTCTGTCTTTGCATTTTGACACCCTTAGCTTGCTTGTCCATTCATCAATCCATGCATTTACCCATCCACTCACCCCACAGGTACTCTCTGACGGCCTATCATTTCCCATCAGTGGTCCTGGACACAGGGACCACAGCAGTTTTGAGCAAGCAAATATTCATACTCATGGAGTATGGAAGCAGTGTTTTCTATCTCCTAGAAGTCATTGGAGCACAGTACCTTTTAGTTTCTGGATTTCATCATTTTAGGAAATAAGAAAATTATTAGTGGGTGATCTGATAAAATGAAGACTAAGTTCCTTCTACTGAGATAGTCTTCAAAGGAGGGAGAGTAGTTTTCAAAACCTAAATTGGAGCACTGACCTCACTGGACAAAGGCAGAGATGCTATATGGTGAGAAGCCACACACATTC